CTTTCCAAAAAGCTGTCAGTATTGTCGCACATTATAGTTCATAGTTTGTCCTTTCCTTGGTATTGTTAAATAAGATTCTCATAAGACAAAAGACTATTCACAATGGCACAGTGGTGTTAACAGACTTATATTCGTGATTCACATTATGAGGGTCAAAAATAACATGTCCACTGCAGCTACCAGAAACTATTAACATAGTAGCCATTATGAGGTTTGATAACCTTATAACAGGAGGTTAACTAACCCTCTTCCCAGCTCACACACATGCATTTATATAGGTGACTGGTTCCATACTGCTTCAGATAAAAGATCTGTTCTTGCAACTGCTTACTCATGTGAGCAATCTGCTAGCATGAATAAAAGTCTGCAGGATCAAGTCCATAGAAAACATTTTCCATAAACCGCATGACAAATCTTACATCCATCACCAGCTACAGTTGCAAAGCATTCTGCAGAGAACTATTCTGATGTACCAGAAAAGAAGAAAAAGCGTGTTTGGCTACTTGTCTCCATTTTATCTAAGTGTACAGTGTCCCACCATAATTACTACTGTGAAGCATGATCACATTATTATTTTCTCTCTCCAAAGTGTTTTTTGAAATACGTTTCAGGAAGGGAGCTATATAAAAATGAATTGAATTGTATATCTGTGGAAGTGAGAAAGCGTTGCTGTTATGGAAGAGTGCTTTCGGCTGACATGATTATTTTGTTGTTTTCCTTTGATAGACAACTGACTGTACATAGTGATAAAAAGATAGCTGGAGATGACCAGGTGCAGAATTAGAGCATAGAAATCCCAGCTTTACTGTGCTTTATCTAACACAAGGAAATGGCTACAAGCCAAATGAAATGATTGTTATTGGTGATGTCACCATTCACCATATTCCCAAGTAATTAAGGTCTCATTTGCAATGTGGCTACCAGCTGACATTATGTCTGCATATTGGATGTAGCTGGGTTTTGCAAACCTAACTTGGGTTTTTAAATACAAACATATTTCTGTGATTTACAAAACAAAATACTTGGGCCAGATACTCTGCTGGAGTAAACTGGCACAGCTCCATGGGCAGTCCTCTCTTTTTAAATGATGTTTGTAGTTTGTGTTCAAATATAGAGGTTTATGCTTAAAATGTATTACATATAGGTTAGTTTAATGCTTAAACGCTCTATAAATTGAACTCCATATTGTACAGCCAGTAAGCAACAATAATAAACAGATACATCTCTACAAAGGAAACCAAAATGGAACTGTTTGCATTTACATTTTTGTTACCTAAAATATCCTCAGAAATAAAGTGAAATTTTAACGATGTTCTATATCTAGAGATAATGGGACAGATCCTCAGCTGGTATAAATTGTCATAGCTTCCAATGGAGCTATGACAATTTACACCGGCTGACAAGCTGCCCCATTATTTGAAAATGCAAAGAATACGTTTGTATTTTTTAATATCCAGAAGAAGCTGATGAATATAACAAAAAGGCCCTCAATCAGAGCACAACATTTATTTCCATTTTTTAAGAACCCTATTTCAAAGGGAAAATGGAATGGAGTACCTGTATTTTCAAATGAAATGCCATTTCCAGCAGAATTACACAATTTTACAAAATCAATGGCTATGAGACAATGGACATGTCAGTACTGCCTTTCATTTAAATGTGATGACTAAATATAGATTGTAAATATGAGAACCAACATTAATTAATTGGTTTTCGCAGTCCTTAGTTTCTTTGCCCTTCACAGTGGCATGCAGTCTGTTTGCTTTAATTTATTTTCTTTGTTTTGATGATATTTGATTAATAAATACATTGATGAATTGCATTTGTAAATGCCATCCATAGATCACAAGAAAAGAATATGCTTGATGTTCCTATTATGGCGATCTTGGAAGATTTTTTTTCCCTCCTTCAACTTTTAGTATTTAGCAAACACACACACACAGTGCTGCAGTGCTGAATAAAGTTCCCTGTTCTTATCTGAATTTTCAATGAACAAGCAGCTGCAGAATAATGTGACTTAATGAGGCACTTCTAATAAAATACAGCACAACTTAAAAGAGAGGCATACAACTGTTTGCTCACTGATAGAACTATCATTCAAAATAAAATTTCAAAACAATGGTCACATTTTATATATGACTAGTAAATTATATGATTTCCTAGTTTCCACAGTCACTGATGAGTGCATGAGATTGACAAATGTTTAGTATTTTACTATTACCTGTAGTCAAACCTAACACATAATTATGTAGCACTAATCTTCTTCTAATTGACTATTATGCTTTACACAGTTACTAGTAGGCAATAATACATTCCAGAAGAAAGATAGAATTACACCATTAAATATTGCATGTAAATGTGGTGACACTCATATTTGAAAAATGCCTAGATATTTTGTGCCCACCAGAAGCTACACAGACTGTTAGCAAAGAGCTCCTTTAGCAGAAGTCTCTTTCACTTAATAGATAAAAGGAAAACCAATGTATTAATTCTTGAAAACAGTCAGTCTATCAGCTCCACTGATTAAATTATGAAAGTTGATGGCTACTAAATGCTGTTGTGCAATCTCAAAGCAATGTGGTGGCCTATCTGCTTTAGCATAAATCTAAATGAGGCTCAATGAATCTTCAATCTGCAATTTGCCATTGTAACAATCTCTCTAGTATTATCTGTCTACATACATATTACAATTCTCAACTCCACTAATTCTGCTTATGGTCCCCACTAGCACTATCAACTGCATGACTTGTGCCTAGGTGTAAAGTGAAATCCCTTGGTGCTCTTGAAGAGACGTGCAAAAACGTTACACTATATGTCAAATACATGATAAGGTGCTAGATTAGCTCTCATTCGCTGATTAAAACAGTATGACAGGAATCAAGATTTTATTTCAAAATCACCTATCAACTAGACAGCATATCTAAATTCATTCTTTCAAAATCCTCCTGCTCAGATAATACATGGGATTCAGTATAAATATGTCGTGAATAGCAAGACTGATCTAATACAAAATGAGTGATCACTGTAGTCCCCTCCACTAAAATCATGATACTGAAATAGTTTACATTTACAGTAAGAACAGTATTGTAGCTTGGGAAGTCAGGGCATCAATAAACTGAAAAAAATAGATGCTCAGGTGAACATCACCAATACAATATCAAAGCTGTGTAAGTAATATCTAAAACTGAGTTTTAGCTGAATTATTTTACCACTGTTACTTGAACAATTATGAAATTATTAAGATTAGATACATAGGTATATTCACAGTGTAAAGTGACTGGAATGTTACTGCGACAAACAAGTATAATAAATAAATCCTTTGTGCCCCTTTTAAAAATTGTCTTAGAAGTAGGTCATGTTTCTCAAGTTTACCTAAAGCCATATTTCCTGGTGGGACAGGACTATTTAGTTTGTTTAGCTTTTTATGTTATGCTCCATAAAGGAATCTTACATTACTATTTTTAATTTGCTTGTATCACCTAATAAAGTAGCTTTAAAATGTTAAATTGGTACCAGTCTGAATGTTAATGTCTAAAAGCAGGTGGTAAGAAAGAGCAACCAGATAATTATCATTTAGTCAATAGTCATTTAAATTTATACAGTGCTGTCAGAAGACGCTAACACCCTGGATGTTTTATGGGGCTGCATTTGTTTATTATTTAAATTAACAGTTCTTCAGGGGTCAAGGCAAGATTTCTTAATTACAAAGCCAAAATTTATTATTGTGGAGGGTTATACAGTTGTTTTTTAAAACAAATTAATACTCTCCAAGCAAAGAGTGGAAAGAGGCCATTGTAACTACACATATATATTAATTCAAAGTTCTTCAGGCAGTTGTTTAAGCTCCTGGTAAGGATGAGGAATAAAAGAGATAAGCATGACAACTCTGCTCCTAGCAGGGCACTGAAAGATGCTGCTCTTTGTGCTTTGCATATACAGCCTGTGCGTCTAATCCCACACTTAGATTAACAGGAAATAAAGCAGATATTTTAAAAAACTTTGTCTTGCACAAGTACAATGGGGTGGAGGGAAGAACCTTCCCACTATGAAACAGAATACAGATAAAACGCTATTGAGCCGTTAAACTAGTTTATTGAAATGGAAAGAAACAAGCAAAACATATGGGCAAGAAATGTCTCAGGTTAGATACCACGATTTGAGGAACATTTACAGAGAAAGAACTGAAGTCATAAACCATACGTTATATAGACCATTTTTAAACTATTCCTCAAACGATTCATTCTTCAACCTCTCCCTTAAGCCATCCAATAGAGTGATCTGTCTCCAAACAAAATACATCTCCCAATATATGGGGCTCTGGAAGTTATCAGCCGCGCTCTTTATGAAAATAGTTACGTAGAGAACCCGATAGTCTTACTAAAATGTCCACCGTTTTGCAGAAATGTGGAGGATTAAATAATCAAAAATGGACAGAATGTGGAGAATTCAAAGAAGTGACCTGACACATCTCATTGATCCATATTAGTGCATCACTGGGCTGTTTATCAGGAGTCCAATAAGTTTACAAACCAGAACTGAACTAGAAAGTGGAGTGAAATTAAAAACAGTTCTTTAATCAAAACAGGCTTTTCTTGAACTTTTTTGTACCGGGGAGGAGGACTTGGAATAATCGACTCACTTAAATACCTTTCCTCACCCTCATCTCTCCTCCCCCCCCCCCCCAATTCACTAGAACTTCTCCCCTCTACCTCTTTCCTCGCCCAGCTCTGATCTGATGTTAGAGTGACTGACTGGATACTTCCCGCATCTCTCTTCACCAAGGGTCCAGACAAGACAAAACGAGGGCCGGGAGCTCGCCACAATTTAGCAGAGTGTGTGTGTGTGTGGGGGGGGATCTCCCTTTACACTCACCCGAAACCCGCACAACAACAAAACTGTACGGGGGGGGGGGGAACCTGGGGAGCCTGAGAGCTGGGAGCAGGAGCTGCAGCTGGCTGAGCCCTGTCACATCTGGAGAGAGCTGGCACCTTCTCACCTACCTGCAGCCCCGCTTCCTTTTGGAAACACCTAGCGATCCTCCTTCAGGTTCCGGGGGGAAACTCCAGCCTTATCGCACTTGCATCGCTTACAAAATCCCAATCCTCCTCCGGCATCCACTGGCATGAATTTGTTCGGGGTGGTGGGGGAGTGTTTTAAATTTGCTGTGTGGGGGTTTCCCCCCCTCCTCTCGGATTTTATCTTGAAATAAAACAGGGATCCGGCAAGCAGGTGCAGGGGGGAGAGGGGGCTTTGGAGGGAGAGGTTGGGGGGGTGTTTCTTGTGCACAATTTAAAAGTGATCAAAGGATTTTTTATAAAGGAGAGATGTAGGTTTTATCTGCTAAAAAGGGACAGCGCCGCTCTCGCCCCTTTGCCAGATCAGTGAAGGTCCCGATCCAGCCTTGCAAGCAGAGAAGGAAGCAAAATTAACCGCGTCCTGCAGCAATCCCCCTCTGTTATTCCACCTCTGATTGGTCTGCTTTTAATACACAGCAAGACTTTGCCCCCTCTCGCCTCGCTCCTTCTCCCTCTTGGGAAAGGTCATTGGAGAGCAGGAGATTCACCTGCAGGGAAAAAATCAGCCCGCACGTACTTCTCCAGATTGCTGGCTGGCTGTGGTGGGATTGTTTTAGACAAGCTGAGGCAGCTGCTGGGGCTTTAAATAAATTCAAGCCAGGCACGTCCTGATGAGACGGGAGATGGTCCTTTCCTCCCCAATGTTTATCTCCCCACTGCTGCCCCAGCTCCTCGATCCTTCTTGCAGCCCCCGATATGTCCGAGCTGTGAACTAAGGTCCAGTTAATAGATAATGTGGCGGTGCTGCTGCCGCTGTCTTGCTGGTAGCCTTTTCAGGAGTCCTACCGCCAGAGTTTCGGAGAGACTAACTAGCCCCATGCACATCGTGGGCTGAATTGTATGTCTGCCTTAGATCTTCTCTCTCTTCTCCAGCACCCACACACAGTCACCACCCAGGAGAAAAGGGTGCGGGTCCAAGCACCAAGCAGGTGTGTCGTTTCTTTCCCTTCAGAAGAAAGGGGAAAGCAGCCAGGTTAACACAAATAAATAGAGACACAAATGAGTAGAGGAAACGAAAAATCCACTCGGACCCAGTTTTGCAACTCCCTAGAACGCCAACCGCTGGGAGAAAAATGAGCGTGGAGTTGGTTTCCCCTTTAAAACCAATCTCTTTAGGGAGATTTCCCCGCCTTTCTTTATTGTAACCAATTCATGAATGAATGAAATCCCTTCAGACTGGGAGAGAGCCCATTCATAGCCAGGAAACCTGGGGCTCCTGGGTGAGCTTTGGAGTAAAATGGTATTGAATAGGATAGGGCTGGGCTGCCTCTCCCCCCCCCTCCCCCCCCAGCAGCCACTGAAGAAGCAGCTGTATTGCTGCTGCGAGAAAAACCAACGCGCCGGGTGGCTGCAGCAGAAAGAGGGACAGAGGCAACCCAAAGCCAAAAGCTGGCCTGTGTCTCCCTCCAGAGGAAGAAGAGACACATATACTGACTACAGCCGATTTGAAATCTACACAAGGAAGGATCTTTGATCCCAATGACACACAACATTGGGCGCCTGGGAGTAGCTTTTGAATGGACATTCCAAGAGGTCATTTAGTAAGGTTACAATCAACTCCAGTTTACTGCGTGTGGCACTTATCTATGGGACCATGGTCTTACTTTTATTCTTACCTTATTTCGCTTTGTGGCCTTAGCAGCGCAATGATCCCTTAGTTGCTGCATTTTTATTTTATTTTATTTTTTGCCATTGGTGATGTGATCCTTTAGCCCAAGGATCTTGGTTCACATAATCAAAACATGCACTTGGGAAAGGCTTTTAAAAACATGAGGCCACTCTTAGACACTCCTGCCTCCCTTCCTGTGTGTTATTCTGCTTGTTATTGGCCTTTTATGCATTTCCTCTTCTCACCCCTCTTTTTATCAGCTCTGAACACGGGCGCATTTAGGAGGATATTCTTAATAGTGCTTTCTTTGCTTTGGAATAGGTTTATTCTTGTACAGCACATGCTGTGTTTACAAATGAAATTATTATGGGACAAACTTGCCACCTTTTGTTGAGTAGCACCTACACCTCAGCCCCAGTAAAGATGGCAGAATCTGGTCCTATATCATTACTTTTGCTTAATAGAGGAGAGGTAGTTTAAGGCACATATTCTTTATGCTTTGCCTCTCCAGTTAACAGAGAGATCTCCAACAATATGACAGAGGTATTAATAAACTAGACAATACAATTAGATGTGTGGGTGTCTATTTATTTTACTGGTTGCAAAAGGTTTTACATGGGTGTCAATCAGTGCAGAATTAAGCGTCCATGATATATTTCATCATTCATTCATTGACAGGTTTAAAAAAATCACCCATACAAATAATAAGATTAAACTGTCCAAGAAACAACTTCTGCAAGTCCCTTTACTGACACCAAACCCTGTATGATGGTAGTCGGTGAACTGTATGGGAAGGAAAGTGAAACAGAGAAAAACAGCAGAGCAGATTTTTTTAATCTACATTTGTAGAACATTGGTGACTTTTTCAAATAATACAGAGGCATAAAAATCAATAGAGTCAAAAAAAAAAAACAACTGAAGATTGCAGATAGCTCCATAATGACTGCCCCTCCCTCACTTGTTCAGCACTGCAGGGGGAGTTAGAAATAGGCTGGCCTGGAAAGTGAAAGTAAAAAGTATTCTTGTTTTGTGATATTGCATGTAACAATTCTAGCAAAAACAGACACTGCTGTGTGAGGGCTCTGGAGGCATTAAAGGATTGTTGGATTTAAAAACAGTGCAGTTTTACTTCATTAATTTGAATACATTTGATGCCACAGAAAGATAATTGAACTAGTGAGTAAATGTGCTGCTGCATTCCAAACAAGCTAAAAGTAATGCAGAAGCAGCACTGGAAACGCTACTAGTAAGGAATTAAAATAACCAAGACATGGGGTTACAAGGGCATGTCTCAGTTCTTATACCATATCCATCATTATACAATCTGAATGCCTCAAATGTGGTGGTGTTGCGAGGCCATGAAATGAAATAGGCCCCAATCATGATTAGTGTCCAGTTGCTCTAGGAACTGTGCAGACACATAGGAAGACAGGGTCCCTTCCCTGAAGTGGTTATAGCACAATCTGACAGAAGACAAACTACAGCTACAAACAATAGAGGAGAAAAGGGAGGATGAGAGTAAAGTCATTCCTTCCCCGTTTGTGGGGTTCTTTCATACAGTAATAAGAGAAAGAAAAATATTTAAATAAAAATACAACAATATAATTTAAAAAAAAAGGAAACAAAAGTTGGCAGGGTTACTCAGAGCAAGGGCAGTATCTGAAACTAATTTAACTCTTTTTTTTTTTAACTTCCTACATTTCAAGTTGAAGTATCCCTCTAAAGAACATGGCTAGGAGGGATACAAATGAGGGAAGTCTTCTCAAAATGTGGTAGTAGCACAACCATGAACATTCTCAGTCTCTTCCTTGCTCAAGCCTAGCTGCTAAACAGAATGAAAGGAAAAACTGCCCCTTATTGGATCCTGGTAGATTCAATTAAATTTTGCCTCTTAAAATTTGATGAGCCTATTAACAGGGGTGCTGGAACAGTTTATATAGTGGGGGTGCTGAGAGCCACTGAATCAAACTGTAAACCCTGTATATAATGGAAACAACTTCAAGCCAGGAGGTGCTGCAGCACCCCCAGCAGCCCTAGTTCCAGCACCTATGCAATAGTTTTGCACCCAATAAGGTGCTGCTCCTGCAAGCTGTTCCAGGCAGACAGACCCCTCCTCTGCCCACACAGAGCCCCCCTGACTTCATCTCTACATGAACACGTAGGTCCAGACATATGGAACCATTTGGGAGACCGGGACCTTAGTTTCGCACTCTGCGCACATATGCCTGTGTCATGACCAAGGTGAAAATTAAAATTGTCCAAACCCGACCCAAAAGTGTTGAAATAGTCTGTACATTGTATATTAACTCGTTCACCTTTAAAGAGGGCTTATGACATACTAATCAATTAATCCTGATGTCATGCGATTATAAAGATTAGGATTATATACTTGAGTTTTTAGTGTCCCTCACAAAGTGTCCCTTACAAAGAGAAAGAATTGAGCTTCAAATATCAAAATATGTTGGGACACATACCAGTATACCCAGCCCCAGGAGGATCAACCCGGTGCTATAGGCTCCTACAACACCCTCTTCCCTTCAGCTGGCATAGAGGGAGTGTGGGTCCTAAACTGCACCAATCCTCAGTTGCTGTTTCATTGCTATAATTTATGCCTGGGAACCCATTCTACACACAGCCCGCCGAGCATTAAGAAAGTACAAAAGTGAGCTTTATGAGGATGCCTTTACACGCACCCACATAATTCTGCCATGTGCTGCTCAGCTATAGCCAAGCGTCTGGTCCACTAGGTTTATGGGTCACTAAAAGCCTCCGGACAATCCAAATTCTTACTCAGTAACATGTTGCTAATCACTACAAAGTGTCATTAAAAACTGAAGGAAAGTGAAAAGGCAATGGAGCAAAGCTTTTCTGGAGCTCTTTAACAAATCTCCCATAGGAAACTATTAAAATCATGATGGTTATTGGATTCTAAAGGAAATACAATTTTTAATTAGAATAGTAGAATCCAGTGCTGACTAGAGAGAGGGAAAGGGAAATAATTATACTGGAGCTCTGAGCTCAGGGCCCCCCTCTCCCCAAAAAAGTCTGTAACATCTGTGTAAATAAAGTGAAATGGGAGGGGTTAGGGCCCTGGTGAACATGATGTACCGGGTTCCCAAATTTCTCTCGATGGGCCTGGCGGAATCGTCACTGATTTTCCAAAACTTCCACATGACACTGAAAAGAAATAACAGAAGCAACGGTGCTTCTGTTATATAACATGCAAGCCATTCGAAGAACTGTTATGTGCTTTTCTTTTCTTCCATTTCCAACCACTGATCTTAAAGCATGCAAGCCCCTGAAGTGACATGGATCACAAAGTACAATGGCAACACACACAGGTGTTGAAGCTGAAGAAAGGACACCGTCCAGGACTGAGGCCTAGTCTACACTAAAAGGTGTGAAAAAACACAGCCCTGCTATGCTGATGGAAGAGGGCTTTCGTTGACATAGCTAACTTCGTTTGGGGAGGTGGTGTCCCTACACTGACCGAAAAACCCGTTCTGTTGGTGTAGGCTGCATCAACACCATGGAGTTATGCTAATATAGTCTCAATAGTATAGACATACCCTGAGAAAGAGGATACCCAAGTCCTTTGCATCTGTTTGTCGAGGAGATATTGTTGATATTGCTTTCGCGGAAGTTTAACTGTTTCACTTAAGTTTGGTAAGAAATAGGAACACTGATAATTCTTTAATTCAAAATATCAAAAACCGTATATTTTGAAAATGTTACAGCTCAGAAAGCAGCAGGAAATTACAAAATATAAATTATTGCGCAAGCTTCCCCCTTGTGGTACATTAAGGTACAATCCTTAATTATGTGAGCACATATTAGGTCTCAAATGCCATATAGTTTTTTCCACGCCCACAACCTTATATATGTGTGGGGCTGGAAGAATTAGATGTTTATCAGTAAGTGCCAGTAAAGATTAATTTAATTGTACACACACAAACCAACGAAAAAACATTTCCATCGATAATAATCAAAATATGCAAATAGGCATCGTAAGAAAAATGCTACATAAATCAAACTCTAATGAGTTCTTAAGTGATATTTACTTTGTATATTTTGACATGTGGTGATGACAATTTGTATTTTAATGGCTGTAAGCTTTAACTTTTTGAATCTCAATGTGTACTGTCATTAAATGATTGTCTGACCTTCCCTATTGTCTGACCTCCCCATAATTTCCCATAACTATGAAAATTTAAATTGATAAAAATAAAAAATGCTTAAAAATAAACTTCAATATTGTGATACTCTGTACCTCAACGTAGCACCCTAGAACCCCCATATTCACCACTGTTTTATCGTTATAATATGTTTTGTACAAAGTATACCTTGTGGAGTATCATTTTAAAAGTCTTGATCCGATGAACATTAATATCCTGTTGGATTGTGTGTGTTATCATTATATGTGAAGTGATGTAGTATTGCTATTGTATTACTGAAATATGTTGTAAAGTTGAAACATCCACAACCAGCTTTCAGTTACAACAAAGGAGCATCCATCAATAGCCAGACAGGATTAATGGCTCATCAACACCCAATCCAGTATCCCAGAGACTTCTCAGCGAAGGCACGTATGCCATGGGGGCGGA